AAGGGAGCAGACTAAGTCCAGGACAGGGGGGTTCAGGGGCCTGTGAACCCCTCCCACAAGAGATCTAAGGCTCTGCCCTGGCTTCTATGTCAACATTGAGCCTGTGCCATGCTGTATCTCTGAGGGTACGTCTACACTAGCCCCCTCGTTCGATCTAGGGAGGCTAACGAGGGTGACCAAAATTGCAAATGAAGTGCAGGACTTAAATATCCCGCGCTTCGTTAGCAGGTTCCTGGCCGGTCGCCATTTTAGAAACTGACTAGCCCAAGTAATTGCCCGCGATTACACGCGGCAGTGATACGGGATTCCGAATTAAAGCCCTAACTCGAATTAGCTGTTATTCCTCCTGCAATGAGTTTACCAGCTAATTCGAGTGAGGGCTTTAATTCAATTTCTAAAATGGCGACCGGCCGGGAACCTGCTAATGAAGCGCGGGATATTTAAATCCCGCGCTTCATTTGCAATTTCGGTCACCCTCGTTAGCCCCCCTAGATCGAATGAGGGGGCTAGTGCAGACGTACCCTGGGAGGCAATAAAACCTTCTTTTCTACTGGCCGCTGGAGTCACATCTGGCTGTGGATGAGGGTGCAGGGTCGGAGGCCCCCGGACGCCTCGTCAAACACCGCTGCAACTGAGTGGGCCAAATGCACAGGGGATGACAAGGCCTGAGGGTTGGTCCCATGCTGCTGCTTGGGCAGGGTGGAAGGGGAAGGGAGCTGGTTCCACTCCCCTGCAATGGGGCCAGAGGCCAACGTCAGTCTCAGGAGCTCTGGACTCTCCTCTCCGGGCCAGCCCACTGGCAGGCTGCAGATGGAACAGCCCCACTGAGGTCAGGTCGGCCTGTCTATGCCACAGGCACAGCTGGCGCAGACACCCTGGGCCTGTCACACACAGGGCATGTTTATTTCACAATCCGCCATGCGCCAGCCACACCGCGCGGCCCACCTCCCAGCCAGTGCATGTGGAGGACTCGGGCAGCTGCCTCTCAGTGCTGGGAGGGAGGGAGGGAGGGAGGGGAGCTGCAAGCCACATGGGTGTTGCCAGCCACAGTGCAATGGGCACTGGAGAGACCGGGCACCCGTCAATGGCACGGTGATGAGCCATCCCCTGGGGGACAGCCATGTCACTGCACGATGGGGCCAGGTGGGACTCGCCACACTCCCTGCCAGCCAAGGGGCACCCAAAGCACAGTTGGGGGGCTGCGGGGGGCTCCCAGCAGGGTGCAGAGCCAGTGGGAGGCAGAGGGAGAAGTGTTTTCAGAAGGTAAAATCCCTCCCGTGGGAAAGAGACCACGCTGCCCTTTGGGGAGCAGGGCGGACAGCAGATGGATCCTGGGGTTCGGGGGAGCTAGATCGGGGGGCAGCTGGGCTGGGGTTTCTCCTCCCAACTTTCCCGGGAAGCACGTGCCGGCCCAGCCCTCAGGGCCCCCTTTTCCTTCCTTCATTTGCTGTACTCGGGTGTCGCATTTCCAAGTTCCATTGGCCAATGTAAGTCACGTGGTGACACCCCAAAACCAACAACTTTCATTTTCGTGATCGCCCCCCCCAAAGTCCCCAGTGACCCGACGGGGGCTGGGCTCCGCCGCCACCTCGGGGGATCCCGGCCCCCAGCTCAGGGCCCGCTCCGCGCCCAGGCTGGGGGGCCCAGGCCAGACCTCTCCTGCGGCGCTCTGGTCCTCCTGCAGCTGGGCCGGCCCCCCGCGCCGCACCAGGTCCCGGGAGCCGGCTCCAGACCCCCCGGCTGCCCCGGCCCCG